TGATCGAAACTGACAAGTTGCTTTCTGCTATGATCAACTCACAGATAGAAGAGCACAAAGCAGAAATAGATTTCGAAAGCGAGAAAAGCACTGACTTTGTGGAAGCATTTTTGAAAGAACAGAAACGTCATGAGGATGAACCCGATTTTGGAGGATTTTCGTGAGTTTCGAAAGTCCTTTCATGTATATAATATCTTCGAGAACCTTAGAATGAATCAACTGCGGAACGTTTGCCTGGATCTCTGGTTTGCCGGTATGGAAACAACATCGAACACGCTCTATTGGGGAGTTCTTTACGTACTTTTGGACCCTGAAGTGCAGAAGAACATCCATGAAGAGCTAGATCGAAAGATTGGATATCCACGACTGATCACCATTGCCGATCGAAGTTCGCTTCATTATATGAATGCAGTGATAAATGTGAGTAGAAAGCATATGCCCTCGGATCTAAATATGACAAAACGCACTAAAACAAAAATACCCAGATCTCCCTCCCCCCCTCTCCCCGTCCTTAAAAACAAATCTGATTTCTTTACTTACTCAATACTTTTGGCTGAGACCACCAGCAGTGGAAGTAACAGAATTTATTTCCGGAGGGGGACAAGGCCGGACAAAATATATTCCAACAAAGGGGGGGTCAGCAACGCTTTCCAAATCGAATTTAAAAACCCGAATTTTTTGCAAAATTGCAACTTGGCAAAAGTTTGGAAGAAAGTAACCGTGGCTTCCAGATTTCGCAGAAAATTTTTATGAACCAAAAACTTGTAAAATCAATTATTTTGATTTACAGATATCAAATAGTTACTTACACAAATTATTCATAAGTCATGTTGTTTATTGTCATATTCCCCCCTCCCCCCAACCCCGTCTCCATCCCAATAAAATAAAATTTCAGGAAGTTCAACGTCTGGCCAACCTCCTTCCACTGAACGTATTCCATGAGACTACCGAAGATGTGGTTATTGATGGCTACCATATACCTGCTGGAACTCTTTTTCTACCCCAAATCTCCAACGTCATGTACGATGAAAAGGTGAGTGTCAAATTTTGAGCAAAATTTTCCCTTCTTAAAACTGTTTCAGGTGTTCCCAGAACCATGCAAATTCGACCCTAAGAGGCATTTAACAGCTGAGGGAGCTTTCATGAAGATCGATGAGGTCGTGCCGTTCTCTATGGGAAAGAGACAATGTGCTGGCGAAGGACTAGCAAGAATGGAACTATTTTTGTTCTTAGCAAATCTATACAATCATTTTGAGGTTCGTTGAGATTCAAAAAAGCGCTGTTCTCAAGATTTTTTGTAGGTGTCACAATATGGCGATGAGATCCCATCAACGAAGAAACGCTTTGGAAGCACAGTTTCAGCGGAAGATTTTTCTGTGGTTCTTCGAGAGCGATTCTGACGATAAAAGTGATTTTCAGTCTTGAATTTGAGCATACTATTTCAGTACAGATCCTCAAAAATAGATCTTTGTGAACATTTTTGTATACGTATGTAGCTTTGATGAATTCTGTAAAAAAGAGAGAGCGAGATGTCGAAAACATAGAAAGTTAGGCAATAACTTGAGAAACAGTAAAGCAGTTCTATTAGAAACTCCTGAAAATTGATATTTAGTTGATTGAAATGATTCCAAAATGCAAGTAAAAATTTACGATAAAAATTTCACGACTGCTCTCTAATTTTTTCGAAAACCCTTATGAAGATAGAAGAACTCCGAAGAATCCTAATATATTTCCCTAGCACTAGCCTCTGCTTCTATTAAAAATATACATTGGAACATTTTTTTCAATGAAAGGAAAGTTGCCAAATTCAAATTGGCTGACAAATAATTTCGGTTGCTTTGGGTCCTTAGAAATGGTGAAAAAAATTTTCGTCCAATATACTTCCGAAAAGACTACTTCAATAGAAAGCAGAAGGTACACTTTATTTGACTAGAAAGCTTTTCCAGTGAAGAAAATACGTAAGGTCTTTTCATGTAACTCCTATACCAGTCTGAAGAGCAATAAAAAATGGTTCCAAATTCGTTTTCATCTGCCAAACGCTTCTGAGTTATGAGCCGTTTCTGTAGTTGAAAAATTGCATGCGCAGCTCGATCAAAATTCCTCCAGAATCGCTCAACTGAACAGTAAATTATCAGAGCACATCAGTCAACAGGTAACTTCTGTCTATGCACTCATATTCAACACTGCCCTACTTAACTGCTCAAAAGACCCTGAAGGTTGAATTTACTTACAAGGGAGTGGTCAAAAGTCGAAGTGGCCAATCCATACAAGCTGCATACCATTCGATGCAGCACAAAATGCTGATTTCAAATCTGTCTTCCATATCTGCAGAGCGCCTTTGTAGGCGAAGTTATGAGCAGCTTTACTGCGAAAAAATCGTATGCAAAAATTGCGATATCAGGCACCTATTGCTCTTTTAGCTCACGTCTAGGTACGAGTCATATGAACTGATCTAGTTACACGTTTTGGTCCAACACTGAGCCGAGAATGGCTTTGTACGGCCAAGTTTGCACTTTACACACACAATTTCTTAGAAAAATAATGGCTTTCAACGGCTCATAACTTCGCCCACGAAAGCGCTCTGCAGATAAGAAGACAGATTTAGAATCAGCGTTTTATGCTGCATCTAATGGTACGCAGCTTATATGGATTGGCCACTTCGACTGTGACCATTCGCTTGTTAGATCCTGCGTTCCTTTTTTGCTCCAGAAAACTCATGACTCGGCATAAAGAAAATGGCAGAAAGTAAGAATTAATTTGGATTTAATCAATGCATCAATGCTCGTCAAAGCAATGTGGTGCTCCTTTGGAAAGGCCACTTTGACTAAACGGACCTTCCTTGCAAGATACCCCTATTCGTGGTGCGAAAATGGAAATATTTTGTAGACTTAAAAGCAGTGTCTAGGCTAAATCTAACCCCTTGCCATTAGGGTCGATCCTAAACCCCAGTTCGACCCCACAGAGACGCATCTGCGTTGGTCCGTTCCTCTACTGTTGTCTCCGAATGGAGATAAGGGGCCGGGAACAGCCAAAGTGCTATCAGGCCCTAACCAGATCCTATCAGACTCCGCCCATCCATGTACTGAAAACCGCCAGTGCCCTGCAGAGGGTCCTTATAAATCAGGATTTTGGGGGTTTAGGACTATTTGAACTTCATAACTGTAATCAGGGCCAGGGGAAGGCGGCAAAAACATGGGAGGCAAAATTTTGAGTGGACGCTGCCTTTAACCACAAATCAAGCTTTCTATTTGGGTTTTTTGGACAACTACATATGTGTGCATAGAATAAATAAAAAATAAAAAACTCAGCAGGGCGATTACAATTCTTAAATGTTGTTCGCTAAGTTGATAAAACTTGTCTGTGTCTATTCACAAGTTACATCCTTGCATATACCCCAGAGCATGAAAAACGGAACCTAAGTTGAGGGACTGAGTTTCTGGCAATTTGGACATTTTGGGGACATTTTGGGATTTTGTTCTTTTTTGCCAATACGAAATCTTGACTAAGTGATATGTGGGAGTGGAAGCTTATAACTGTCTCATTTCAAAAAAAAAACCATAGCTAAGTAACAACATTTTACACGTCAAAATGGAATCATTTTCGGCCAACCCAATACTATTATTAACAAAATATCTATGATAACCAGAAGCCAACAGTACATGTATGAATATCTGAGTTTTATTTTTTCCCTGCATAACACGTAAAATCGCTTTATCGCCCAAACTAATTAATCTATGGATCTAATGAGAAGTTCTAGTTGAGAATGTTCTAAAATTACTTGTTCTGATCATCAATGCGATCACGATCTCAACCACCTCTCCAACGACCGGAACCCGCTTTCTTTCAACGACATCGTCATCGCGTTATCGATCAGCAAAACAATCGTTTATGTCGTCCTTAACTCATAAGAATCAACTCAACTTCGCTAGTAGATACCTACTTGAAAATGTCTGATGACGAGTGCGCCAACGATATTCTCTACTATGCAGCTGAAGGAAGTCTGGTTGGTTTTAGCAGATTTAAATTGATTTTGATAAGGGTTTCATGTAGCGACTTATTCTAATTCAAGAATGCCTTGGAAAATGGTTCAATCTTTGTTAGATACTTAAACATATAACAAAAGTTCTATATGATCATGCATATTAAAAATATTATGCAAAACAAGTTCAGCACAATATTGGTAGACATATCCGACTGCCAAAAATTTCCGTCAGTTCAGAGCAGGTCGTAAAACCATCGTCAAAGATAAAATGCATTTTTGTTTGGGCATTTCAGCAATTTTAGCGACCAACATTCCAAAAACTCAATTTGAGTGTTCCTCTTGAAAAGCGCTCCAAAGTGCCAAAAAAACATATAGATTTCCAACTTCCCTTTCTTTTCTACCACTAGACAGGAATCAAACAAAGATCACAGAATTCCCCGGAAGTCATCAGCAGTGAGGGAAGATCATCAAATGTAATCGAGAAAAGTTTGAAACTAAACTAACTTAAACCATTTCGTTCTTCCTTTCTGATTGAGATAATCTCAGAGTTGGATAATTAACCAAATAGGATTTTTGCTTGGAGAGTAGAAGATGCATAACTTTTTTCTCTCTTAGCTATTGAATCAAACGAATGTTTTGAAAATGGTGAAAGTCTGATGAACCCATCTACTATTGATATTTACTTATTTTGATATCATTTAATTTTGAACTTTTTTGAAATTGACAGACGCACAATAAAATTCAAAATTATGTTCGTTGCCCATTTCTGCTACGTCAAATTAACAGTATAACATGTACCTTTGATATGAATTACCTGACTTAAGATCCTACCTACACAAGATGTAAAGCTTCAGATATCTCTCACATTGACATCATGATAAAGATTTTCAGGAATTTAGGAATTCCAAAAGCTTATAAGTGCTAGAAAACCGTCTAGCACCTATAAGCTTTTGGAAGCAGGATTATTTTAGTAAGAATATTTTTTTAATAATTTTCAAACAAGCTGTTTTATGCCGATATGGAGAGGCTGGTGAAGCGACATCGCGAATGGATAGCACATCGAGACAATCGTGGCAGAACGGCAGCGATGCATGCGGCGATTGCCGATAACGTCAGAAATTTGCAGTTCCTCTTGAGGTAAGGGAAGCTATACAGCAGAAATTTGAAAAGTGAAAAAAAATGCTCAGATGAAACCTAAGGCAGATATATCCTAGAAGATGTGATAGTTTATTAGTTTTTTAGGCTGCAGAAAGCGTTCGCAGTAATGGCCATGAGGCCCAAAAAATGAAAAGCATGCGATTGATGGCTTTTGATTGCGAATATCGTTAGAATTACAGTATGTGATTTTTTACTAAGTGATGTTAATACTGCCCACATTACATTTTGAGATTACTAGTTTATAAGAGCCGTCGTACAAGCGCTTGTCTAACAAAAAATATTCTTTGGACATAGGGTGGCCGATAAGCATGGGAGTTACGACAATATGTTAGGTTGGAAAAAAAAGAATGTTGCTTTTTTTTCAGTTTCCTAAGCTAAAAATGTTGTTTCTCAAAAAACTAAAGCATTACAAGGGTAAAACTTCATGGTTAAAGTTCTGAAGATTTGTAGACTATAAATGCATACATGGGTGGAATCTAGGTCTACTGTGGGCGAACTTTACCATTTTTCGATTTTCTGATTTCCAGCCGCGAATATAGCAACTTTATGAATAAGAACAAGTGCGTGTGTCTGTCACACGCAAGAGCAACTGGTTTGAGGTTCATAGGATTTTTTCGGCTAAATTTCGATTTTTGGCATTTTGAGTGGCTATTATATTCTGGCGTACAACTTTGTTTGGATAAACGACACACGTCAATATTCAAAAGCCATCTTTAGAGCTTGATTTGCTCTATCGAAAGATAGTCCTCAATTATTTTTTTAAACGACAATCTTTTCTTTCCAACCTGCAGTGAAAGGGGAATTATCTTGACTGTGCAAATATGAAAATAAACTCTATATTCCATAGATAAAAATTTTGTCTTCGATTTATCGTAACCCCACATCATTATTACCTTGAATATAGATACAGCTATAATCACTTTTTTTCAATATACGTAAATATTTTGAACTTCTCCATATTATGTTGGAAAGGTGCCTGTAAAAATTACGGAATTCAAACAAAATAAACTTGCCAAAACTGTTAACAGCTAGGCTTACTATCTATCTTTCCGTCCATCTAATCACTTTCGGAAATTTTTTAACTTTCTAGATTCTAAACGCTCTTACACCAAGCATGTAGGCATCCTCTCTGCGAATTTGAACGAAGTCTAAGTTTCCCCTCCACCAATAATTGCTCTTATCCAAAAGAATATTTACCAATTTCAATTTTTCAAACTACGACTTTCCCGCATAACGTGGCGGGTTAAATCACCTTATGATCGTTTTTTTTTGCTTCAAGCATTGACCTGTAAAGGGAGAACAAAAAAAATAAGTGGGAAACGACTGGTAGAAAATGAAAGTTTTACTGCTTTACAGAAAAGGACTCTCGTTGTGGGATGTAGACAGTGGTGGAGCGACACCACTACACTGGGCTACGCAATGTGTTTCAACGAAGGTATATCTTTCTCCGTTCTCTTTCCTAGATTCTGCTTTCCTTCTAGGTGGTACGATATATCCTGCAAGCCGGGAAGTCACCACAAGGCTTGGCACCCTTTCTAGTACCGGATAAAGAGGGCGTCACACCAATACATATAGCAGCTGGTGGAAATGGCAAGATATTACAGGTGTGTGGGGCCTTGTAACCACTTTTTATTGGTTAGAGGTGTCCACGTGAATCACACTAAATAATGCAAGTGAATCTCGACAAAAGTGCTAAGAAATTTTCCAGCAGAAGAATTATGAATACTGCATTTATATTTCGCACTGTGACAGCACTGAAGTGAAGTCATATAGTAGATGCCAAAATTATGAAGTCATTTGGTATTTGTATAAATAGTAATTTGATATAAATTCATTTTTTGCGCGATCACTGATTTTGCGTGACTAATTCCTTGCAAATTATATCAACATACGGTAAGGTAACGTTCCCTTAAAAAATCTTTGCGTGCAAATCATTACCGTTATCAATGCGCGGAGCAGAATAGCCTCTCGCATGGCATCAGCACCTGGAATGGACGTGGGAATCTTGGACAGTTTGTTAAATATTTGTTAAATAAGACTGCTGTTTTGAATAGGCCAATTGGATGAGAACTCATGGATATATGTAAAGCACGCAACATACTTGATCCACTTGATCCACTTCATCCACTTCGCTATGGGTCAAATCATGCACTGACCAGTAGCGAAGCGAATGTGCACTTGATCCGCTTCATCCACTTCGCTATTGGTCAACTCATTGATTTGGCCAATGGCGAAGTGGATGAAGTGGATCAAACGGATAAAGTGGTGCAAATATGGGCCTCGCCTTAGAGATGGTTCTTGATGTGGAAGATATCAATGGAAGAGTTTGAACACACAGCAATTTTTTGCTTTATTTGGACTTGGTCAGTTGCTGGGACCTAAAAAGCGCCCTATAAGAAAATGTAAAAGAAGATACTTATTCAGATGTTCATCGATGCTGTGAGCGCTGCCGATGATGTTTTTGGCTTGGCACAGGACAAACGCGGTCGAGGTCCTCTTCATTATGCTGCAGCTAAAGCGAGTGTTGAAAGTGTCAGACTCATACTAGGTGAATGACTAGAAAACTTACTTGGATTGCAGAAATATTCTTCATGTTTAGACTCTCCAACTCTCGGTCTACCAGTAGATGCAAAAGACTCCTGTGGCCTCACACCGCTAATGTGTGCTGTAGGTGTCCCATTTACACAAGGTCCGTCAGATCGATGTGGCATACCGTATTTAGAAAATAGATTATATAATAGGTGTCGACGTTTGCCGGCTGCTAGCTCGTCGGAAAGAGATGTCGATATCAGCTAGAAATCGTGATGGACTGTCAGCGATCCATCTTGCAGCTATCGCTAACAATCTTCCGGTGCTCAAGCTTTTCGCTGAGGAAATGGGCAAAAATGTCGAGGTTTGGGACCAGGACCTCCACCGCTTTTGCTAATTGATGTGATTTTTAGGTCTTTGACAATGACAATCGAACACCTCTTCACTATGCAGCTGAGCAAGGCCACTATGAAATTGTGCAACTATTGCTAGCTTGTGGAGCCAGAAGTACAACTAGGTATGCGTTACCATACCAGTACCGGCGGCGTACCGAGGGGGAGGGCACCCCACCCCCCCCCCCGCCCCGAGAGTGGGTCGTGAAATTTTTGGAAGTTATTTGAATGTGTTATAAAAATGTGCAAGCGACTTATTTTTACTTATAATTAAAACAATTTTTAAAAATTTTTAAAAATGCAAATTAGCTTCGGGGTCAGAAGGCCGGGAAAATTTTGGGATACATCCCAAAAAAATTTTCGGAGTGCGTGGCTAACGCCACGCGGCTTCATTAGAAAAAAAGTTTTGTCGCCCCCCCCTCCAGCCGAAATCTTGCGTACGCTACTGACCAGTACGGAATGTAATTCACTTAATAAAAATCGACTTCTAACAAGCGATAACTCCAGGGCATATAAAATTGTTTTTATCGATGTTTCTGACACTGAAAGATAATTGTGTCTCCTTTATTAACTAACGATGATGACCATGATGGTAGCAAAAGGTAAATTTACTTTTTTGCCTGTTAATGCCCAATTTTCAATTTGACCGCAACTCAAGTTATTATCCCTGACCCCCATTGTCCGTTTTTTCCTTGGCTCAAAAATTCGCTCAACTGTATACTACCGTCATTCGTATCGCTCGAAATCCAACTTCTACCTGGGCTTAGAACTCAACAAAAAGGGAAGATGACCAGTAGAAAGTTTGGAATCTACTATACTTGAGGAATACATCAAAATATCAAGAAAACCTTGCAGCGATAAATACGATGCGAGCCCCGCACACTATGCTGCTCAGTTCAGTGTCAGCTGTCTTGATCTGATTCTAGCAAAGAACAATTATGTGGTCAGTTCAACACTGTTGAAACTGAAGATGATTTGCCAAAAACTAGAGATCTTTAGGAAATTAAAGACCGCGAAAATCGTTCATGTTTAATGTGGGCCGTGTGCGCAGGAAATGTCGAGGTGATCGAGTATCTTGTACGTAAAACATCGCCTGATCGTCAAGCTAGAGTAAGTTCTGTCTTTCTTAGAAAGAAGGAAATTCTCGTTTTCGTTTTGAATTAAGTAAAATTCACGAAAAATTGGGGCTATTCAAGAATTTAAAGGCACTATTTACCCAATTAGATGATAATGAGATTTCAATGCTATAAGGTCCTCAGCCAAGACTGCCCAAGTCCTACTGCAAAAGGTGAAATTCAGTTGAGGAAGTCTTCTCAGAATCTAAGTGCTGCTGAGGTCACCACGCCCATCAAAGTGTGTGTATCAAGAATACTGATCCTAAATTTCTTCAAATACTTCAAAGGTGATGTGTTTTGAAATAAAAAGAAACCCTCGACAGGTATAGACAGTGTTGAGTCTAGTTCACCACATTAATGGGCGTAGCGACCCCAGCAGAATCTGCTTTCTGAAGCAAATTTCTCCCTTCGGAATACACCTTTTGCAGTGGGACTCGGGTATTCAATTACAAGCAGTTTGGGGCTATTAGGTACTAGGTAAGGCTGGTTTTGTGTTGTATCAAAAACTTACTAAACTCAAAAGTGATTAACATTCTAGGACAATCACGGCTTCACTGCTCTCCATCTTGCTGCTATGGTTGGTAATGAAAACATCTGCAAGGTGCTCGTTAGACAAGGTTGGAATCTCTCGGTAAGCTTTTCACAGCACTTATTAAAAAAAAATTATTTTGACCATTTTTTTATATTAGGAACGCGACAAGCTTGACAACACACCGTTGCATTTGGCAGCCGGACGTGGTCATACAGACGTTGTGCGTTTTTTAGTCACAGCTGGTGCCAATATGAATGAAAAGGATGCTATGGACAGGTATGTAACACAATGTGTCCAAAATAAGTTTAATTCTTACGTCAATTTTTTCTTGGCCACAATACGGTTTTTTTGAATTACGTTATGTATGCACAAAGAGCAGAGTGTGTTACACGCAGAGTCCTTTTTGCCGCGCCGCAGGGGGCATGCGGTCCGATTAAACGTAGCACTATATTCAGGAAAGACTGTAACAGGGGAGCTATAGTAGTAAAACGAGACTGCTACAAACTCAGTTTGTCACTAACTCCCTTGAGGAAAATATGGATGATGACTCATAAAAATAAATTACTTATTAGAATTTGATTTACTTTTTTTTGAGAACACCTGTCTATTGGGCATGCTTCGGTGGCCAAGCACATACCCTCTACTGTATGATTAAGGAATTGGGATTTGAATGGCGCACAGTCGAAAAGTAAGTACTAAGTAGTAGTTTAATTTACTTACCAGACAATCAAAGTCTCCAACAAAAAATTACTTAGGCATCGACGTGTTCCGATCACTGATGCCCTCGGACAGACGCCACTACATGCTGCAGCTTTTGCTGGTTTCACTGCTTGCATCAATGTGCTTCTGAATGTGAGTAATATAGAAGTTATTAAAAAATATTCAAATTTTAGGGTCCCACTGTTCGGGTTTAGGGTCCCATCGAGTGAGTGGAAAAGCGCCCAGATATTAGGATACAGTGGCGTATCCAGAATTACCGTTCGCGGGGGAGGGGGAGGGGGTGCGGCTAAAAAACTTTCCGGATGAACGTATGTGGCGTTATCACGCACTCCACTTTTTTGGGATGCTTCCCAAAACTTTTCGGCCACTGATCTCGAAATTTCAGAAGAAGGGGGCATAGCGGCAGCCAAGCTCCGAAAAAATTTTTTTGCAAAACTGATTTGAATTTGTGAGAGTTTTTGAAACTATTCTAATTATTTACAAGTAAAAATAAGTTGCGTATTTTCATAACACGTCTAAGTACTTTCAAAACTTCGGGACCCCACGACCCGGCCTGCGACCATCGGCTCCCCCTCTCCCTCCCCCCCCCCCCCCCACCCTCCCACACGGTACGCCACTTTGGGATATAAATCTTGGCTGAACTTCCTTTGTCTTCTTCTAGAAAAGTTTAACAAAATCGACAAAGTCTAGTATTTGACACACAAGAGGCAGATAGCTGTCCACGAGCATCTTCTCACCTTCGCAACATCAAGAGAATAGAATTAAACGCAAACTCGGAAATGGGCTCAACCCCATTTTTTTCTGAAAATTCTCTCATTTCATTTATTTAGGTTTTTCATAAGTTTGTGGCCATTCTGATATAAAGGTTGTTGAAATCTGCGCTCTTTAACGCGAATCACTCTTAGTTATGAAGAACTCTCTGGCAAATTACTTTAGATGGATTATTTGTATAAAAACCTACGAGTGATTTTCATTTTTTATGCTTATAACGAAAAGCAACAATCCTCTGTGATTGAAAATGAGGAGACATTTGCTAAAAACTCATTGAAAGATTTTCAATTATAAAAGAACTTATGCTACGACCTAAGTATTTCTTGCTCAACGCAGTTTATGTCATGTCCTAAGCATACCAACGGCAGCTTATTCTTTCCCTATTTTCTTAGCCCTCCCCCTTCTCACTGTCACAGTCTCCTTTCATTAACTTGGTCGAAGGAAATCCGTTCCTGTCTTATGTATTGCATCAGATACGTGTAAACATGAAAAATGAAATGGAATCAAACCGCGTCATCACAGCCTGTGCATTTTCTGCGTTAGCCACAAGCTAATGCAGTATGTTTCAGATAGAAGCTGAGGACGACTGTCTCATCTCGCCATTGACTGGATGGAAGGATAAACACGGTATAAATTTCAGAATAAATAAAAAACATCGCATTTGACGAGTTTTCTTCAGGTGAGACCGCACTCCATGTGGCTTGCAGTCGAGGTAAAATGGACTGCGTACTTGCTCTGCTCAAAGGTGGTGCTGCTCCCAATGCCGTAAACGATGCGAGGAAAACTTGCTTACAGTGTGCAATCGACAACAAGCATAGCAGTGTAAGTCTTGAGCTTTTTAAGAAATTCAAATTCATGACTGTCACAATTTCAGATAGCCGAGTATCTTCGCTCTCAGGGTGCGTTAGTGTTTGCTGAGCTGAGCGAAACGGCAGCTAGAGTCATACAAAGTTGGTGGAGAGCTATATTGTTGCGACGACGAATGCGCACTATGAGGATGAAGTAGAAAACTGCTGTATGTATTTATAAATAATCTGGCAAATTGAGTCTCCATCACTACGATCAGCGTACTGTAAACCCTTAAAACACTCTTTACAAAATCGAAATCTAAAACGATGCAATCAAACACAGTTGCCAGGACTTTCCAAAGATATTTGCGCAGGCGATTCTAGAATGAAGCGCTGATACTCTCTTGTATAAGGAAATTATCTATCCCAAAACAAATCTTTCTTCACAAAGGCAGTGGCTCGGCAAATTCTCAACTTGAAGGTTTTTCGCTTACCTCGAGTAATCCTTCCATATCAAAATTTCGATATGTTTGGTTTTGCCGAGCCACTGCCTTTAAGTGCAGGACATGACAAAAAATACTTCAAAGTAGACACTTGCAAAATGGACCCAAGAAATGGCGCTTTCAACCAGAAAATCCCCATGCATCCTCGCCAGAAGAAGCCTACTGCGACGCAAGTTTTGATTTATTCTCGATAGGCTGGTTAAACAAATATTCCAAATTGTCGAAAGATGTCATTCCTTTCTCCTACAGCAACACAAAGTAAATCAAGAGAAAAAAGAAAGACGGATGAGATACAAACAGAAAGAGCTTAAGGAGGAAGTGGTACAACCTTCATTTTGTACAGGCCTAAATGCAAATGAAATAGCTAGGAACTATGCTAAGATCAGATTATCTTTATGGAAAATAAAAACAAACCAAAAAACGATAAAAAGAAAAAATTGCGATACACAAAGTGATTCTTGCGATAAAATTACCCGATATTGTATAGGGAATGTACAGTAAGTGAGCAAGAAATCCGTGCACGAACAAGTGAAAAACATTCTAAGAATTAAGGACTGAGATATACTAGCAGGAAAATATTATAAAAGCCGGACTGTGCCTTGTTCCACATGTTCTTGTACAGAAAGATATGGTAACAAATGTACCGTGCCCTTTTCTAGTTCAACTACTACCTCAGCGCTTTTGTCTTGATAGTCGGGGACGATAGCAGCCTCGGCGTTGTCAGCCACAACCTCGGCGTATACCTAAATAAGAACACGGATGAAATCGAGAATAGGAGTAGTGAGCTCAGGGCTAACCCTTTCACATTCCAAATCCAAAACAGGTACAGGAATTTTCTGGAAAGAAGGCTGCAATCGACCTAAACAGTCGTTTGCATACATTTGTACATGTAACTGAAATCTCTTTCAGAACTCACCTAAGCAAGTTCTTCCCATGAGTTGAGCTTCTGCCTTTGCGTAGCGTTCGGCGAATCTTTTCTCTTGGTCCGACAGTAATGCGGATTTTCCTACAGGTTTTTTTTTTGATTGTTATAAATAACGTACGAGAACGAACCTTCGGCCAATCGCTCTTGATTCTCTCGCAAAGCCCGTCTTGGATTCTGCTCAATTTTTTGCAAACGTCGCCGCATGTAGTCATTAGTGATGTACGTAAGACGATGAAGCTCAAGCCGATGTGCAGATATTCTGATACTCGTCTGTAAATATAAAAGTTCAACCTCTTTCAAGCAATTAGAAGATTCTTAAATTCTGTCATTAGCTGACCTTGTCTGTTCGTCCTGACAAATTCTCCTCCATTCCTTCTATTTGATCCACCAAACATTCTATGATGTCGAAACGATGAGGTAAAAGACACGGCGCAGCCATCTCGTTCTGCCAAGCGACTCTCATCTGACGAAGAATCTAGAAAAAAACTGTCATCTTTTTCAGATAATCTTAATCTGTGGTTAGCAGATTGTCCGCAGCTACAACAAAAAAAAACAAAGCAAATAAACTACGAAAAAATGTAGTTAGGAAATAGATATGGTAACGAAAAAGATCACACTAGACCTTCAGGTGTCTAGCATAAATGCAAATTCTTACCCGTTGTTGCAGATCGTAAGTGCAACAGCAAAGCAAGATTGAAACAGATAACTCCATTTTTGAGTACCATCTCAGTTTCTTTCTCACAAATGCCCAAAACTAGCATCTTTTACTGGTTGTTTACCGGAAACTTAAACAGGACATTCGAAGTTATGAGCCAGCTGCGATTAGAACAAAATAATTTCGAAAAAAAATCCCATTTGGATTATGAAACGATCGATATTGTCAATGAAAATCAAACATGAACAATATTACAATCTCTCAATTTCGAGAGAAAATTAGCACTATTGACAGTCAGACCGCCTAAACTCAACAGATTACCTCTTCTGGAGTAATGTCCTCCTCGACGTCTGCAGACTGAGTCTCGACACCGCTTGAAGAATGGACAGACATTAGCGATTCAGGCAGAGCCATACTGCAACGTAATCAATTCAGACTTTCCAACTGATTACAGAGATACGCACCCATGTTATAAATAGTGTCGTTTTTGGATCATCCTAAGAAAAGAAAATAAAGATGTAAGAGTTACATCCTTGAAGCGACAACGCAATCAACACGGCTATTTCTAGTCGATCAGATATAGTATAGATCAACCTCGCTCGACTCAACGTTGATTTCTGCATTTTTTTTTCACAAACTGCGTTCGATGAAGAGTTTATTTCACAAAAGATGGAAGCTTGCTTTTTTGGGATGCATGCACACTTGTCCGTGAATACAGCCTCGTTAAATAGCTAGAGATTCGAAACTCATTAAAAAGAAAATTCCCACTGAGGGTTGGGCCAGACTGCGCGGCGTATGCGACGTACGCAGCGTACGCCGCGTATGCCCTTATGGTAGGTGCCAGAGTAAGCGAATATTTTGTTCAGGTTGGGGTCCCGCGCAGAATTGACGTCTCTCAGCATGCTGGCGTCAATCCAAGTGACGTCAATTCTGCGCGGGACCCCAACCTGAACAAAATATTCGCTTACTCTGGCACCTACCTATGATGAAATATACCGAGCGTACGCTGCGTACGCCGCTTCCCCGCGAAGTCTGGCTCAACCCTGAGAAAGTGGACTTTCAGAGTGCGTAATTCAACTTTGCGTGAACCGGACATCACAACTCTCAAAGATATAAAAGCATCAACTCACACAAAACAAGTGATAATTGTTCAGCAAGGATTTATTTTCAATTAGTCACACTAAAAATCGTAAAAGGTAGGGTTACAGAGACAAGAATGAAGTTATGAAATTTGCACAAACAAAACCTACAAAAATATGCGTGGGAAGGGGGAAGAAACGGAGACCTTCAACTTTGATAATGTGAGAACCGGTCATATAATACAAGAGAATAAATTAGAAGCAGTGAACCGTCTCACAAGACGCAAACGATTAACCACGTCAAACGAACAGCGATCACATAACAGCATGTAACTGACGGAAGGATGGATGTTCTGCTCGACTACAAGGGGCAGATTAAAAGATTTTTGGTGACAAGAGGAAATTATTCATCGTAATATAAATATCACGTTATTCATTCCGAAGGTTTCACCTCGCCGGGTTGCCCTGCAAAGCTAACATTTAAAAGTCATCAAGGTTCAAGTTATTATAATGGTTTTTATGAAATTATTTACAGCTTGTAATAAGGACGTCACCACTGGACGAGCAGAAGCGCACGTCACTTTCATTACAAACCTAAACTCAGTGTGTACGCGGTAAATATTGATCACTAGCCCTTTCTACATTCCCCAATGCTAACACTACCAATTTGAAAAGAAAAAAACTAATTTTCAAAATTGATCCATTTACTACCGACAATAACACTTACCTTGATGCATAGGCGGAGTGGCTGCATCAGCCATGTCAAGCTGAGGTGGCTGCGCCGGTTGCGGTTGTGGTGGATAGCCAGCAGGCGGTTGTGCGTACTGCTGAGGAGGATAACCAGGATGCCCTGAAAAGATGCAAGCTACAGACAAAAGTTCCTCAAAATCTAATGAGCCATACCTTGAGGAGGATAACCTGGGTAGGCACCCGGTCTTTGCTGCTGTGCTGCATATGCGTTAGGTGGCTGCCCTTGATACGGTGGCCGCTGCTGTGGAGGATAACCGCCTGGCTGTGGTGGGGCATATGCGGCCGGCCGTGGCTGTCCGTAATAGCCGGGAGCACCGCCTTGCTGCGGTGGATATCCTTTAAAGAAACTATTTAAGCTTCAAATAGTTAATCAACTAATTTCAATCTACAATAGATAAATGGCAACGAACCTTGTTGAGGAGGATATCCCTGATAAGCGCCTTGAGCCTGTGACTGTTGGGCGTAAGCTTGAGGAGGGTAAGGTTGAGGAGGATATCCTCCTGGTTGTTGAACACCTGCAGGTGCAGGAGGATATGTTTGAGGTGGGGGCTGGGCGGCAGGAGGCGCTGCAGGCTGTTGTTGCTGAGATGCCGGAATCTGCTGCTGCTGTACAGCTGGTGGTTGCCCAGGTGTAGAGGCTCGTGCCGCAGCTGCAGCAGCTTCTGCCGACGCCTCATTCGTCTTTTCTGTAGTCGCTGAAAATATTTTAAAGTTACTGCAGCCTGAAAAGCGCAGAATCAAAACTCGAACAAAAACATCCGGAATGCTAATGAGCCTTTACATTCAAAAATACTTACGTTCATGAGCAGGAGGAACAGCTACTTGCACTTGTGGGGTCGGTTGAGGAGGACCACTCACTTCAAATCCAGGTGGTAACGATGCTGGCAACTGAATCAAAGATAAAAGTACTTACTATATAAAGGATACTAAGTAACTCACTTGCCCCGCTGCTACCATTTTACTATGTGCTTCATGCTTAGCACGTTGCTCCAAATATCTTAGCTGATCCATGTGGAAAGCTTGTCGTTCAAGAATAAGCTGCTGGCGCTGATACTCTAACTGAACCAAGGAGCATATACAGAACAACATTCTAATTAAGGCAACTCAAAAAAGGAGAGGAATGCGAGAGCAACTCACAGCCTCTCTTTCTTTATCCATAATTTGCTCTAGCTCGTCAAAGTGCCGTAACTTCATTTCCAACTTTTTCATCTGAGTCTCCACCAACTGAGCCACCAATGACTTGATTCGGCGTTCTTCGATGGTGGCGAGGTGCTAAATTGCAAGTAAATTATTGATCAACATTTGATTTTGACAAAAAAGAAGCTTTTAGAAAATAAGCGCTAACCTTAGCTTTTACTGCGGCAGCGGCGAGAGCAGCCGCAGCAGCAGCTTGGACATTTTCGCTTACAGCCACTTTAGCTGCGTGCTCGATGGTAGCATCATCTGCTTTTTTCGCGTTCTCATCCGTCTCCATCTTCTCGCCCTCTTCCTTTTCCTTTTTCTCGTCAGTAGCGATCCCGGATTTAGATAGACCTACGGTTCCATCGAGCACGCCTGTTTTCTCCTCGTGCGCTTGTACATTTCGCGCATGTGCTTCGACCATCAATGCCGGCACCTAAATAACTTGAGAGAGTGACCGACACATCACATTTAACTCAGCTTACCTCATCTTTTATCTTGGCGAACTCTTCAATCGCTGCCTTCGTGGCTGCCTGTGCAACTTTTGGATCGACCACGGATGCTAGAAACGCTACCGTGGACATCACCGGGTTGCCCGACTGGGAGAAAGGAATGGGTTGGAAGGCCAGAGGTCCTATAAATGAGGAAAGTGATTACGATAAAAAACTTGGAGCGCCTCTTTCAGCATACCTAAGATAGAGTCACCACTTCCAGGACCATTTGCTTCGTCTGATCCAAGATATGGATCTTGAATGGGCAACTGAAGGAATCGAAGAATGCATTCATCCTGAGTTCTCGATCCAACATGATCGGATACCTGGTAACAAAATATATGGAAATGTAATCAGAAATCATAGAACAACAAGACCAGTAGATGTTGTTAGCATAGCATTATATACGCTGTATAATTCACCTTGTTCCAGTCATCCTTGAACATCTCCAAACCTTCAAGCAGCAAAAGCGTCTCTTGATCAGTCCAATCACGTCCTGGAGCAGCTCCCTTAGTCTGAAGACAAGTCAGATATACCGAACAGAAGTATCTCACATGAACACAAAAAATATACTTTCATAGCTGCGAGTTGTTTTTGATACTGATCGGTCTTGAGTCCTACATTAGACAACTTATCAATAGGCGTTTTCTCAGCATCTTCATCCTTTTTCTCCGGCTAAATTAAGGTATAGCGATGCTTCAATTGAACAGGTAAAACGTTGACTTACTGCAAAGTTCGACACAACAGGGCATATCGGCTGAACACCTGTAGGAGTATCAGCCAAAACCATGAAATGACTAGTCGGTGGAGGAGCAATCGGTGCAGGACGAGCATCTGAGTCCACCTGGTAGTTTATCAAGCCCCATTGCTCAAGGAATGAGTGCACCCTATATAGAACATATTCCAAAAGACTAAAAGTTGCGAGAATAAAGCAACACACCTGACAATTGAGCAGACATCACCAGCAAGATTTCTTCGACATGCTGTGGCAGAAAGGTATTCAAATGGATTAAGCCGGTAAGTGTCGACCATAAAGTTGCGATACGATAGGTACCTCAAAAAATGAACGATAGAGGTAAGTGTTAAATGTACTTGGAAAGCCAAAAAAGGGAACTTACACTTCCGGTGTTTTGCTTTTGTTACGGCCATTAAAAAATTCTGGTACGGCTCGCTTTTCTATCTGGTGCACCGCATTGTAATCGAACCAAGACGCGTATGATGGAACAACTATATAATGGGTTTGTTCAATCACATTGCCCTCGCTTTCCTAAGAAAACATATTTGATTAAAAGACGTAGACATCGAAAAAGCAGAGGACAGAACCTTTCCAGCAGCATGATGCGATTCGTCGTCTAAATCTGTAAGCTTCTGGCCCTTGGGAGCAGAGAATTCGGGATCTTTTTCGCGACCTGAAAAGAACCTTTCAGCCTCTACATAGAAGTTACTTAGCCCCAACAAATGCAATGTTCGAATTCATATAAACTAAATCCCATCATCAACTCAAGAAAAGATCATCAAAAATTCATGCACTTTGTACCCCTTGTACTCAGAAAATCATCTGATCTCACCTCTTTTGAACAGTCTGTGTGGGTCATTAAGATAAGAGTGAGCTGCAACACAGATTTTTTACCAGTTATCAATTATGATATATCGAAAGGACGAAGATAAAGGGCATTTTTTTGAACACAAAACTTGATTCTAGAACTTAAAGCAGAGTTCGCTGTGATGGTCAAACTCAGTCGGATTGAGACATCAAAAAATAAATAAATAAACATGCAGAGGAGGCCCTATGGTCACATACTTTGATTTCTGTGGAGGTTCCAATTATATGCTGAAATTATATCGTTGAATACATTTCCTAACACGGAATGACAGTTCATGGTTGCGCCGTATACACGTAATTCGCTTATATTTCCTGCTAAAACAGGGCTTGGCATAGCTGGCACCGGGTCAAGCTGGATATCGTTTTTGAAACAAAAAGCAAAGGATATCTTTTTGTGGCCGAAAATACAGAAAAATTCGACGTTTTTAGCCGACGTTCCGTTTTTGGTGGGGGGGGGGGGGGATACGTTCAGAGTTTAGGGCCAAAGGGGCTTCGTACGCAATTCTGAACATCAAATGGGACTTCATTTTGCCACCCCGTGCCGAGCCCTGTGCTAAACTGGTTAACCGGGAACCATTCAGATTCGAAAATACAGATGTTAAAAGTTATTGACACTATCACGCCGTTAAAACAAGATTTCTGAGCCAAAGCAAACCAAACCTTTAGGTGGTTCAACCTTCACAGCAACGCCACTTCGGCTATCCTCATCGTCACCATGCATGGAAACGTCACCATCATCATCTTCTCGCTTTCGCTTACCACTGTAAAACATAACTGTGACTTTATCTCCGCAATGTATCAAACCAAACACTCACCCTTTCCTCATGTCTGATTTTGTCGAATTTGCTCCTGTTTACCTGAAATTAGGAATGATTAAATTAATAAACAGTCGGAGTAAACCAATCACAGGTCTTTTATGACCATAAAATGATACAAATTTGCTCATTACAGAATCATGAGCCGGTGAAGAAAGGAAAAAATCGGCGCAGCGTTCAAATCTCAACACCATCGATCCGATGCGCGCGGTTGCGGAGCGGTGACATTGTGACGGGGCGACGCCGGGCAGAAAGTGCGGGAGATAGAAGAGGACGAATGTTGTCACAAATATACTCGTAGTAGTATTTTCACAACGTGTTGGTCTACGTGAATTTTGACAATCCCGGCTCAGTATATCTGCGTTTATGTCAAAAGCAGAATTTTCTGCGTTTTCCTCGTAACGAGTTGTCGCATGATGGGAGGATATTACTCCTCTTCGCGAGTGAAGACGAGATATAAACTAGTAGATGCGTCTTCAAACGATCATTTCAAATCTGCTTTCCTTTTGTACTACTCCAGACACAACCCAGAAGTGAAAAATCTTGATTATCGCTAAAACATTGTATACAGGGATTATTTGATGTTCTAATCACGAAAATGGATTTATTTCGCATGGTAGGACGAGATTAGGAGAGGATGAGATTTTTTGAGAGGTTACGGTAGGTATACGATGTGGGGTCCAAAACACAGATCCTGCTGAAGTTCTGCAGAGAGAGGTTAGTCGACATGCTGACTGGTCACGATTGTCACTCTATTTCTGCATGAAAACGTCCCCTGTATGGTAGGTGTACGGTAGGAGAAATTGTAGATTTGGCTGGAATTTGGACTAGAGGGGCTATTTAGCACGCTGAACATGTATCGTCGATTCGTTGACTGTAAGGACTGGACATAACCGCGGAGCACGCGCCGCGAGGTAAAACGTTTGCTCCAATACAAACTCGCCATTGTTAAAATCGCGCTCTTGCAACATTTTAAGCGCGCCGCATGTGGTCCGCAGCGGTTGAGCAGTCCGTACGGCCAACGAATCGACGATATGTCATATTAAATTCGCAAGATGGCGCCATTTTCTTGGGTAGGTGATAGGTCTTGATAGGTGTGAGTTGGTTGTCAAAGTCTCAAATTTACTCAAAACTTTCCCTAGAGGGTGTTTCAAGCATGCAGATTACGAATATCATGCTTGCTCATTGCAACAATGTCTTATGGTTGGATTACGGTAATCTGCAGTCCATGAACAGGCACGATTTCTGGTTTTCAGGCCAGTTTATTAGGTCCTAAAGAAAGTTTCCGGGCACTTACAAATCTAACTTCAAGTAGATTGGTTCTTCTCCAAAGCTACAAACTTCATCGCAAAGGCAATTTTGTTTAAATACAGCATATGTTTGTCTTTCTGGCTTTTCTACACGCTTGTTCTAATCATCGTATAAGCTGGCATACCCGGCTCCGCCCGGTCCTATCAAAACGCTATGATAAAGGTCCCACCCTATCTCTGTACCTTTCGCTATGCCTATATCCACATGCCAATTCCGTGCCCCGTTTTGTTTTCGAAAAGCATACCCGCTAAACCTCCTCAGACAATTCTGCGCGCAAGCGGCGCGCACTCACGGCCAGCAGGGCAGGCGGCGCACCGTGATTTGTGGGCGTGGCCCTGCAGCGCACAGGCGGCGCGCAATGCATGTTCGCAGGCGGCGCGCAGACACAGTGTGCGGCAGGCGGCGCGCAAACTTTCTGTAGCATCACGTAAGCGAAAGGGGAGCTTGCTTTCGCGCGTAAATGCAGAATTTTTTGCAGATAATCGTTTCTCCTCGTTCCTCTTTGTTTTTTTTTTACACAAGGTATTGTCTTGTTTATTACCTCACCTTTACTCTGTTGTTTCACCTCTTTTTCTATTTCTAAATTGTTTTGAAATCAAGTATGCGATTTTTTTGCCTTTTTGTAGCACGTCCTCTTTTATTCCATCCAAATTCACTCTTGTTTCTCAGTCAGTCTTGCATATCTTTTATTCTACCTCTGGTTCTTAATCATATTGACCCCGTGACACGGGGACGCTCATTTTCAATCAATAACGCTTTCTTGCGTCGTTGCACCTCCTCAGACAATTCTGCGCGCAAGCGGCGCGCACTCGCGGCTAGCAGGGCCGACTGATGGAATCAACCCTTGATAGAACAAAGACCATTACGAAAACTGACGAGGACGAGGCTGATCCAGATCATTCATGTCTCATCCATCCCAATTCTTATTTTATACCCATCATGTCACCGTCATTCAATTGTTTGATTCCTGTGGTTGAATTGGGTATATGAAGTCTATGAGCATTTAATTCTGGCTGATCAAGCATGTCCGCGTTTTGTTCATTGCTATCGCGTTTTCATATTTTATTCCTCCAAAACTGTACATATATTATGTATTTATATCTATGTATACATGTTCAGGCTATCTATCAAAGTATTTAGTGATTTTATTGGCGGTTATTTCAAGTTATCTCATCATACTGTTGCATTTGTTACTATCAACTTCATTGTATTCATTACTTCATACACACGTCTTATTGATATCACATTTGAATGTAAATACGTTGTTGATGTTGACTTTGAAATGTCTGTGAATTTTGTAAGTACTACCTAAGCTAATAGTATTGAATGCCAGCTGTCAAAGACAGCATTATCCTGTAAATTCTGTATTTTTGTTGCAATTTGTGTTAAAAGCCTGTTGAGTTTGAAAATTGTAAATATTATTCGTTAATAAAATAGTTGTGAAACTACATTGTTCAACAAACATAAGATATTCAGACCGACAACAAAAAGCCAAGCAGATTCCTGCCAAAATTTTTCTCGTAGCGCGCAGGCGGCGGACCTCAATCCATAGGCGGCGCGCACTGCACACACAGGCGGCGGGAAGGCACATCGCTCGCTGATTCAGTGCGCGCCGCCTGCGCGCAGATTTGTCTGAGTCATGTGCCAACTCCCAGCTCCGTAGCTCGGGCATTGTAAGAAAATCGGTAAAATCGATAAGAGTAGTCGATAATTCTACCATTGTATTCGTAATCAGCATGCTTACTCCGCCGTGCCAACTCCCAGCCCCTTAGCTCAACGTTTGCAAGAAATCCAGGGTGGAGGACTATATGTCGCCGAAAAAGGGCGATTCCCACGGTCATTTGCGACAAATACGCACCCTTGTGCAAGCGCGGACATGCGTTCCTGCAGGGAATCCGCGCGCGACTCTTCCAAATTCGGCGACATACAGTCCTTCACCCAGAAATCATAAGAGAGATACCGATCGATAACGAAAAGTGACCAACGTCCGTCCCTTCCCGAAGTGCATGTGTGCAAAGTTTGATCCGAGTCGGTGTAGAAAACAAAAAATGCTAAGCGGAACATACATACACAAGATACACAGACAGACAAATAGTTCATATATAAGGTTGTAAATTTTTTGATTTTGCCGTATGTTTCGTTTATATGTTGGCATTAGGATGGCAATCGAAATTGAAAAGTATCGGTCTTAGTCATTGTTTTACGCTTGCATGGTAGTCTCTTCTTTGGCTCGGGATACCTTTTCAACATTCCACCACTGCTGCATCACAGTCGCATAGTCCGCGCCCGCAGGTTCCTTTCAAATCTAAGTCAAGAAGATACTTTGAGAATATTTCAAAACGCCTTGAGATTACCTTTGCAAGTTACACTTTTCATCATGTAGCAGTCCCTTTTGTAAGGAGTGAAGTACTCTTGCAGCGCACAATGACAAATCCTATTTTTGGTCAGGTTTCCGTAGCACTCATCATGAATTTTGCAGCATCTGAAAGATAAGTGAATCTGCTGCTCTGCTTTTTCCACAAGAATTATTACTCATCGCGACCATCTACCGGTTCAGCATAGTCTCCAATATGTCCAAATCCACAATAGCATCCATATTTGATAAGCATCTGGAGTAATTTGTAATAATATCACAGTGGTGGCTTTTGAGTGTCCATTGTGCTTATCTAACAAAGCAAAGGTTACGCAACTCACCCAAGGATAATAACCCAATACGCATCTCGCCGTTGTCACTAAATCCCATAATGCACCATTTGCGCATCGAAATAGGCATAAATACACGACAAAGAAAATGGTATTCATGCCATGTGCGAAGAAACAGTCGTGTTTTTCAAATGAAATTGCCCGGTTGTGTGGTTATCAGTCAGAGACATTTAGCGCCAATGAAACAACAATATTTACTTATGCGACAACAACAGAGGAACTGGTTCCTCGGCCAAGTGAAGTGATTCTTTGCTTTGTCCTTGCTAGCTCCAAATACTTTTATCAATACAGACATTTGTTCTAGCCGCCACCGAGATTGTTATGCCATGTATTTGGTTGAGGCCTATAAAATTTCCGCCAGAGCCTTCTTAAACGTGACAAATTCAAATTTATCCTCTCGGACAGCTCATCACTTGCTGAAAAAAATGCCTGAGAAATACATCAGACCATTGTTCAAACTTAGAGCATAATATAGATCGCTAAACTTTTGTTAAATTTTTTTCGTGCTTTTCTGAAAGACTTTAAAATATTTTTGCACAGGCAAAGCAAAGCTCTCATCTAACATAGATCGGAAAAGGATCAAGAACTATTCATTAGCATCAGCTTCGCTCTTAAACATGAGTTACAAATATAAAGGCAGTTTTCCAATAAAACTTCAATCTCCATTTTTCCATTTTTGAAATTATTCTCTCATATCTCTTTTATCTGTTTGCAACTATTCAGATTTATTTTTTATGGACATCCGAAACCATCAGTAGTGATACAAAGGGAATTTAAAAGTTTTAGCTCTTCAATAACGGAAGCTGGGATACTGCTTAACATAACTGAAAAAATCCCGAAATGTTCGAAAATTCTATTCTTTACGTGTGACATGCATTTATCCAAAATCCACAGCATTCTGCAAAATTCTATAATAAGATGGTTTTTTGCAGAATTTACGGAGGTTTTGAGTGATAACCTACTACTTCAATTTAGATAGCCATAAAAAGCTGGTGGCGAGCCACCTTGGCTGCTCGCTTTGCGGTATTCAGATAATCCCCGGGGGAGGACGCGCAGGAGGAACCAAAGGCCTAGCCGGCAGTGTCCGCAGGAGATAATTAGAGGCGCGAGCACTGCGCCGGAGATTTGGCCAGGATCCAAGAAAACTTAGCAGGAATCCATAAATGTTCGCAAGAAAACTTACCTCGTAACTTCGCTGGGGAAAACGCTAGAGAAATAAGTGGGCAGTTTTGTAATCTGCGTTTTCAGCCGCATTTGTAGGAGAAATGAAAGCGGAATTCACTTTTCATTTACGTTCAATATTTGGATATGAATATCCCCAGAAATACATTAGCTACGTCGAACTACTTATACTCAAGTTTCAAGATTTTCAAATCGTCAAATCGTGACGCTGAAAATCGGTAGTAGGAAATTGAAGATTAAGAAATTGTTCACGAAATCTTGCTCGAATTCAAATCATGAACCATCTGAAAACCATAATGATAAATCTACAACTTACAGAAATTTTTACGTCAATGTGATGCAAAATCTCAATTTCTGAAAAATTTCCAATTTGGTTCAAACACAATTTTGCAATCATTTAATTTATCAATTCAAGGTTTCATCTTGGACTGTTAACTTTAAGTTTACCTTCCCCTCCATTTTCCAACTTGAATCGTGAAAATTCTTTATGGCGAGTTTTTCGAATGACAGTTATCTCATTAAGAGAAGCCATGAAAAGTAGATTTCAAAACTTTTACTCGTATTTCTCGTGCTTTTTCCCAGGCAGAGTTATGAAATACGTTCTCATATGGTCTCCTTCAATCTTTGCTAAGTTGTTTTGGATCCTTGCCAAATCCTCCCCACAGTGCTTGCGCTCTTAATTGCCTCCTGCGGATATGGCGGCAGGGCCTTTGGTTCCTCCTGCTACGCCGCCATCCCCGGGGCAGGCGGTCCGCAAACTCGCGCTTTTCTGCAGGCGGTCAGCAGAATTTTGGGGCGTGGCCAAACCTTCAGCGGGCAGTACTTCCTTTACTGTCGCATATTGTGCCAGCGGGCAGCAACACAGAACTTTCTGCAGGCGCTCGTCAAATAAACTCTATCAGCGAGCTCTGGCCAAACTTTCAGCAAGCGGTCAGACTCTTTTTACGCTGTTCGGGCGTACGCCGAGAAAGGTGAGACTCTATGTGGCAGGAGTGTCATCGATGGTTTAATTTCCCGAATTTGGGGTACTTTCTCTTGCGGGAGGTGCTTAAGAGCTGTGCGGCCCTTTACAAAGGACCATGCGGCCCTCAGTAATTTATATTCTCGCGAAAAAATCCGCGGAAAATATGCAATTGCGGTTTTTTCATAGATTATTGCGGCCACTGCGCCGCAACTAATTTATAGAAAAACTGAGATGATTTTTCGAGCATTCGACTAGAAATTGGCCAACTTTCTTCCAAATTCCTGCAAGCGGAGCGCAAGAAATCAGCGAACTACTTTTCCGGTGTCCGCTTGCCCATAAATCGCATGGCCGCCTCTCCCCGGCGATTATCTGAGTAGGTGTTGATCTCTAAAGGTTCGGACCAAAATTTGCGCAAGTGCTCGGCCAGCAGCTATTTCTATTGAGTCTTCCACTCCGTTGGTGCAGAATCCACATCGAAGTTCCGTGGATATGCGATTCGAAGTTACAATCGCTTTTTTGGTTGATTTTGCTATGCACCATCTATCACAATGTCGCGTACTATATTCTTATCACTGTTTTCATAAAGACTGTTGAAATTTTTTGCCTATATTTGCTGGTACAGACATACAGACATGCATACGAACAGACATTCAGCTTTATATATAAGATCTAAACAGAATAGTTGTAACAAACGAAAATTTTCATCGAATGAACGATATCGAAGAATTGGATTTTGATAATTTTTCGAACAAATGAATATCGAATAATTGAATTTTGAAAATTTTTCGAATGAACAAATATTACTCGATTTCCGATTTTTACAATTCGAATTCGAATATTCGGATATGGACACATTCCATTCGAATTTTCGAGTATTCTAACAACCGAACTTGATCGAATATTTGACTATTTGAATAAACGGTATCATCGAATATTCGAATGCAATATTCAAACCAAACGCAATAGGCGAATACTTGAATATTCTAACAACTGTTTTCAAAACTTCTCGAATAATCGAGTGTTCGAATAACTGTCTTTTAAAATTCTTCGAATATTTGGCTAAGTTATTTTTCCTAATCGTCGAATGAACGAATTATTCGAATAAAGACCTTTTTCATCTAGTCAACTATCATCAAATAATCGGACTTTCTCGAATATTCGACTATTTAAATAGTCGAATATTTCGAATAAATTATTCGAATACGAATATTCGGTTCTAACTATAGTGTCCAGTCTTTACCAAATCTCTTTCAACGCTTACGCTGTCCAAAATGCACGATTTGTTTTCGATGAAATAACTGTTGACAAGACGAATGCCTAAATTTCTCTACTAATCTCAAATCGAAAGCAGTTGATTGTATACTGTTAACTATGGTTTATTGTTCAGTCAGTTAGAATAGCTATGAATATTTACAAAATCATCTAAGCCGTAAATGAAGAGCAGATGGAGAATAGATTAGACAAGTACCTTAAAAAGCCACCTTTGTTTGGCGTACGACCACCTATAAAACAAGAATATTACAGTACTTAAGTAAAAGTCCGGGTTATATAATCACAATAGTAAAAGTTGGAAAAAATTGATCAATGGTTATTTCTAAATCTAAAAGGAGAACGTGTAAAACGCGGTGTTTTGGATGATGAGAGTCTGTGCGGAGTTTTCGATGACGAGAGCCTGTGTGGTGTTTTTGATGACGAGAGCCCAGTCTTCCGTTCAGCACTTCTTATTTTTGGAGAGGAATGCTTGGGAGAAGAATGCTTGGGACCACCCTGAAGATTTGAAGCAGATGTAGTGTGGAACGAGAAAGTTTGTGGTTACCTTGATTCGCTTTGTTGGCGTAATCATGCTAGGTATAGACGCCGTTGTGGAGTTGAAGCATGGACTCAGAGTGGATTGAGAAGAGTCGTAGCGAAGACGCTATAAAAGTAAATACTTCTTGAAGTATAGATGTATCACTCCACTAGAAAGTATCCAGGCATTTCAAAACGACAAAGCATTCAATAACGAAGTTTGTGAACAATTATCTACTCACCTTTCGAAAGGGTTCAAGCTTGGAGGAGCTTACTGGCCTTGGTGGCAGCTTCCCTCGAGCTGACTGCGGTGTGCGCAGCGCACTTGTAGACACCATATTTCGCTGTAGCTGCTAAAAAGCTTCGAAATGAAAGCAAACAATGAATAATACAAGAACAGAAAGAAAGTGCAATTTGAAAGAGTGACAAAAACAACCGTGAAGAGCCACTTACTCTGGATTTGCGCTCGAGTTCCTTACTAGCATTATACTCATCGATTACCCATTTCACATAATCTGGCGGTGTAAAACCTTCCACTCTGCAACAAGATTAATTTTAGCGATTTTTGAGAAATGTAAGATACTACCTTATGTCATCATCGGGATGAGTTTCGCGATAATTGTCATATGCAGTTATCAGAGATTTTAGCAGCTTTGGCAATGTAAACTCATTCAGGGTTCGTTCAATCTTAACAGTGAAACATCACGAAAAGGTAAAACTTCTAAGCTGTCTACCTTTGCATCCAAGAACACATTATTCTCTCTTCCACGATTCTGAAAATAATCCACATTCTTTTTCTTCTCTTCAATTGCTATTTTTTCGGCCCATTTGTCCTTCCATCTGCAGCGAAAAGGGATCATTAGAGAAAAAATGAGAGTCCAAAAAAATGAGTGAACAAACTTTGTCAGAACATCACAGACTTCCTTCCGAGCTTCATACAAGCATTCCAATCGACATATTTCATTTGACATCTCTTCGAAGTCTTTTTCAGTGTGGCTCTCTAGAAATGATGGAAATATTCTGAAAAATCCTAAAAAAAGGCTCCAACAGTGCCAATAGATACCTGGATCATAGGAAGCCGGGATAGTTCGTTCGATATCTGCCACATGACAGTGGTCCCACAGTTCGGTCAGCTGAGCGTGCAATTCAGTCCAACGGAACTCCTTCTCTTGCACATGCTCGCAATACATTTCTTTCAACTGTAAACAAAAATTACATCTGTCAGCACTGTCGATCGAATGAAAATTCTTACCTGGGCATGATAAGTTTCGATACTACCCATCATAGTTTCGGACAAGCAGACATCTTCCTTGGTAAAATCGAGCTTGAGGATGACCTGCAAGTTTTCGTCATCCGGATCCACTGAGCTGCCTATAAGTTAAAATTACCATTTACCAGTGTTAGGTCTCGGGCATAGTTCACACTTCTTCATCGCCTCGCGATTCTTCCAACAAGACAAGTGTTACGAGTTCGTAGATGCCGATCTTCCTGCATGGTCGAATACTTTCTCAAGTACGTCAACACGACTAATCGTGACTAACTATCACAATCGAAAAGCAAGATGATTGGCATGCAATGGACTCGTAACAGTTGTCTTGTCGAGGAAGCAACAATTGCGTGAAATATGGACGAGGCCTTACGCTTTACGAGATCAGGAAGAACAAACACACTAGAGAATGAGAATCGACTATCGTGTTCGTGTTAACCACTGAACACCACAATCTCGACCACGTCATATGTGGGAAATTTCAAAAATCTTGTTCACCGACGTCTAACAACATAGATTTTGAACAGTGTGGGATAATGAAGTGTTGTCCTTTAGGAAAAAGAACAAAAACATGAGTGACCGTATTCAGTCAGCACGACTCACCAACTTTACGTGAAAATTTCAACATATCCGCCTGCCATTGCGAAGCTTGACGTATTCTCTTCTGCAGCATGTCATCCAACTTGAGACGGCGTGCTTCTAGCATACGAACCTTATCAACGGAAAGTAGGTCCTAAAGACATGACTTAGCTAAATGATTCCACTTATCAATGCATCTCTTGCAGCGAAACGATCTCATTTGACGCTATGAAAAGAGAGTGAGGATCCCACTGATGTAAAATGATCGACGTAAAAAAGCATCGCCAGACTCTTTTTTGAATGTTAGATCGCCCCGAAAGTTATGTCGCCTTATTTTGAAAGATTTGTAACTTTGCGCTATCTGAATTGATCTGTTCCTTGTAATTATGGAAGGAATAAATCTCTCGCTTATGAATTCTTTCTTGCTGAGTTTCTACTACCCACTGACCGCAGAGATAAAAATGGAAAAAGAAGAACATATAAGCTTTGATTCTTTTGAAATGGCTAGTCAAAAAATTGGAAGGCTGCGAAAAAATCTGAAATTGTCAATGCAGGGCTTTGTGACCTACTCTTTGCAAATGTACAAGTTTGTGCTGGCTAGACGTGTTGCAAAAAGATATGATTTTCGAAAAAAGTGGCAAACTGATTAATTTGGGCATTTTCTGTAGTGAACTAGGAATTCGTGATTCTCAAGGAGGCGTCCAAACAGCTTTACACTGACTGCAGACAGTAGGTTAGAAAGCTCTTGTACTGACGATTTCAGATTTTTCTGCAGCGTTCCAGGTTTTTCAGGCGACCTAATTTGAAACAATCAAAGATTACAAGGTCCTTTTCTTCTATTTTTCCTCCTACAGTCAGTGTTTGACAGAAGCTTGTCAAGACAATATTAAAAGTGAAAGACTTGATTTCAAATAAAATCATTAAAAGTATGCAAATTGTTGAAACAGCGCAAAGTAATAAATCCTAAGAATGAAGCGACAGAACTTTCCATACGAACCACTGAGGGACTAGATATAACGACATGATAGTAAAAACCATAAAAGTTATAGAAAGTTATTACATGCTATAGACGAAAAACATTGCACGTTGTATACTTACGTCTTCATCCTTTTTTGTGACGATCTCGTCATCGATTCCAAGGCGGTTTGACAACTGTGTAAGCTGTTCCAGTAGCTGATCCTGCTCTCGCTTCCTAGTCTCGTAAAGTGGCGTCAACTTCTTCAACTCCTTTTCGATGGATTTGAGCTTAACAATATGTAACTCAATGTATAATTTGGCAAGAACGAAAAAAATCACCTTCTTTTGAAAAAAACTATGCGAATGCAACTTAAACTTATATGCCTGAACTCACAAGCTCAATAGATCCCGGAGGAGCCTTAGTATTTTCCCAAGGTTCCATTTTCAGTTGAGAACGCATCCTATCAATTTTGTTGAGTCCATTCTCGATATCTGTGCCTACCGCGGCAACCATATTCTCTTCGGATGTAACCTATTAAAACAGACTAAATGCTGAAAAATACTGAAATGATAAACGCTGAAACCTTACCATATCGCTGAGTAGCTTTGCGATATGTCCGAAAGCCACACCAACTCGGGCGACCCTAAAATCCAATTCGACTCGATATGTTTTAGTTGAATAAACAATCCAGATGTACAAATACCTTGCTGATTCTGACATGTGGATCTGATCCCACAACTCATTCAGTTTTGCCACAGTCCTCCTTATGTTATTCTCTACATCTCGATATGAATCATTGACAGACAGTCTTAAGAAAAAAATTGAAGTATGATTTACTCAACTGGAAAATAGAAGAAATCAGAGCTTACCTTCTCGCATCGACTGTTCTTCCTACACGAAAGGGTGAGACCATGTCTCGGGCTCGAAGTTTCTTTGGTGAGTAATCAATTTTTGTTTCTAAAAGAGTGGGATCAAAAACTGATCGCTAATGCGAATAAAATTCCTGAAGAAATATTGCTCAACCATAATATCGAAAAAAATGTGAAACTGGATAGAAGATTGTTGTCAGGGATAAGAACGATTAAAAAAATTGGAAGATTAAATTTTGTGCTAATTTTTTTGATGTAAGCAGTTGCAAAATTCACAATTTTTGCTCAATTAACTCAGAAGACTCCCTAGTTAATCCAAATTCAGCAAATATCTAAGAAAGGAAGTTTTTAATTGCGCAGCATCGATGACTTATTGAGGTCAGCGGGATGGCGTTCAAAGTATTTGAATTGCCGCGCCGCGACGAACGCGCCCGGAAACGAATAACTGCTGACCCAGGGACAAAATGGCAGAAATGAGGGTTGAAAAGATTGAATGAAACTTCTAGAAGTTTTTACGAACGTTCTTCGGACTCATTGGAGTTGAAAGAAATCTTGATGATTGGCTAGTCCGTGAGGAACTCTCCTAGAAGAAATGCTTTAACCAGTGTGACGGTAGAGGATCAAAACCATAAGTAGGTACCTGTCACATTTCGCTCAAGCATCCAAAACGGCCAGAACGCGATCGCGACGCATCTTTTTGAAAACACCAGCCAACTACAACTACATAGCTGTTAATCCCGGAATAGGAACTCGTCTCTTATTGACCTCAGCCGCAGTCATTTGGCAAATCAAGAAGAGATTTACCTATATCAGTAAGCGCGTCTTTGAACGCTGATGCGAACGCTGCTTTCCAGTTTCTGCGGAACAACTCTCCGGAAATGTTATAAGCTTTGAAAGTTTAACTTTGTCCAGTCTCAAGTGGCATAATTAGAGAATATCTGCACAAAAACAATATGGGGACTTCTAATGGAGTTTATTCTTTTTTTTTGTAGTCGGTATGCTTGACGCAAGATTGATTTCCCACTTCCAGGCATTTTCATAGAACTTTTCGCTAATTCAATGCCACTTGGATTTGACAAATTTGGACTTTCAAACGCTCATAACTCCATTCAAAAAGTTGTTCGCAGAAACTGAAAGCAGATTTGAAATCAGTTTGAAGACGAGTCTGCTGTTATGCGTCTCTTTTTGATTTGCCAGATTATGTTGGTATCCTTCCCTTTTAGCGAAATTTTAGGTCGCAGGTTACTCTGGAGTCTAGTTCGGGTCATTTTTTTAAATATGACATTGGGGGCGTGGTCATCAAGAAGGCCAATCACCTCGTCACGTATGCCAGTGGAGGACGCAAATCGCAGATAGACTTCTGGAGTGTACGGTACAACGAGCTGAAGTACGTGAAAGACAGCAAAGTCATCCCAGGAGAAGATTGCGTGCCACAGCATCGGCCACTAATACTAGATCTCAACGTACCAATAGACAGGAAAAGGATGGCTACGACAGAAGCTGAAGTACGCATCAAATGGTGGAAACTCAAGAACGACGCCCGTACAAGAACGCTAATGGAATCCGCCTTGCCAGAAGTGGGAAGTGATCCAAATCATTCCTGGACGAATCTGAAGAACAACATCCATCAGATAGCTGGCGATCTACTTGGGCGCACGAAGCCAGGAAGAAGGAAGCTTGACAAGGAAACATGGTGGTGGAACGATGGAGTGCAGCTAGTGATAAAAAGCAAGAAGATGGCGTACAAAGCATGGCAAAAGACAAGGACAGAAGATGCACACCAGAAGTACCTAGAAGCGAAACGAGAAGCCAAGAAGAGAGTCAGAGAAGCGAAAGAAGCATACGTAGCAGAACTGTATGGCAAATTGCGTACTCGCGAAGGTGAACGAGAAGTATATCGGATCGCTAGAAGACGAGCAAATGCCGCAAAAGACGTTGAACACTTCTACCACATCAAGGACGCGCACGGAAGAATTCTGAGGAAGCCGCAGGAAATCAATGAAAGATGGAGGGAGCACTTCGCAAAAATGGCGTCAGCAAACAACGAATATGCGTCCACCGTAACATCCGAACCCGTGAATGGACCAGTACCAGCAATCACTGAAGATGAAGTCCGTACCGCCATAATGAAGACAAAGAGCGGCAAGGCGACAGGCCCCGATGACATCCCCAGCGAGTTCTGGAAGCAGTGTGGAGAGGCTGGAGTTTCGTGGCTAACGCGTCTTCTGAATCAGATAGTCGAGTCGAAGAATATCCCCGATGATTGGCGCAGAAGTACGACGGTACCGATATGGAAGAATAAAGGCGACGTGGCTGACTGCTCCACCTACCGACCTATCCGTCTCATGTGCCACACGCTGAAGATCTTCGAAAGAATACTAGAGATGCGACTTCGAAGTATCGTGATACTGAGCTCCAACCAGTGCGGATTCGTGAAAGGATGCAGTACGACAGATGCCATTCACACCGTCAGAATGATGATGGAGAGAAGCAGAGAAAAGCAATGTGAGCTCCACGCGGCATTCCTGGATCTTGAGAAGGCATTCGACAGAGTACCGCACTACGTTATATGGTGGGCACTGCGGAAGCACGAGGTACCAGAAGAATATGTTCGGTGGATCAGAATGATATACAAGGATGCCACCAGCTACTTAAGAACAGCAGCAGGACGTACGGAAGACTACCACATAGATGTCGGTGTACATCAAGGATCCGTTCTCTCCCCTCTACTCTTCATCACAGTGATGGACACGATAGTCAGAAGCTTCGTAAATCCACCTCCTTGGACCGTCATGTATGCAGATGATGTGCTCCTGATGGCAAGAAGCAGGAAGGAATTGGAGACAGACGTAGCAATATGGAAAGAACAGCTTGAACTGCACGGTCTGAAGATCAACACCGCCAAGACAGAATACATGAAGCTGGGACTTCAAACGCCAGAGACGATCCAGATTGCAGGCGCGCAGATCAAGAAGACCACGTCCTTCAAATACCTAGGAAGTCGCATCGCGGCAGACGGCACGCTCGAAGACGAAATAACCAGTCGTATAAACGCAGCATGGCTGAAATGAAGAAGTCTCACAGGAGCTCAAGCTGAAATCTCAGATGTACCGCACTGTCATCCGCCCAACTGCGCTGTATGGAAGCGAGTGTTGGTCGTGCTCACGCAAGGATGAACGAAGGCTTGGAGTGATGGAAACCCGCATGCTCCGATGGACGATGGGTGTCACGCTGCTCGACCACGTCACTAATGATACCATTCGCGCAACGATGAAAGTGGTCCCAATAACCAAGAAAGTGCAAGAAAGGAGGCTTAGATGGTATGGCCATGTCAGAAGGCGAGAGGAAGAACACATCACCAGACTAGCGATGTCAGTAGAGGTTCCCGGCAGACGACCAAGAGGAAGACCTAAGTTGCGATGGACAGACAAAATCAAGTCAGATCTGAGAGAGCTTGGAATAGATGAACGTCAAGCATTAGACCGTGAAACATGGAGGAGACTAATAAGAGTGGCAGACCCCGTATGGGAATAATGCAAGGCAAAAAAAAAAATTGGGGGCGTGGTGACCCCAGCAACACTCATTTTGTGCAAAGATTTCCTCTCTTCAATATGCACCTTTCGCAGCGAGATTTGTACAATTATTTAATTAGCCGCTTCGCTATTGTACTGCATCAAATTTTCACCAAATTCAAGTTTGTGCAAACATTGCTTTCATTGACAGTCGCGCATGAATTGAGTGCGTGGCGCGTTTTGAGACGTACTCACGAGTGTAATTATACTTTCAACAAAGCTTCAAAATGTGTAGAAGCCGCCTAGCCATCAGAGAGAGAGAGAGAGAGAGAGAGAGAGAGAGAGAGAGAGAGAGAGAGAGAGAGAGAGAGAGAGAGAAATGCCAAACAAATCAGTGCAGGAAACTGACCCAAACCCATACTTGTGCTTTTTACTACTATACGGTTATGTTTTGGTCTCTGCGTTTGCGAGCAAAACACTTTTCGAGTCGTTCAGAGTAATAGGCGAAGGGCACCTAATCAACTTGCGCGACCCTCGTGTAATGTCGTAATGGATATTGCGATGCATGTTAATCTCTCGCCTTTCCGTTTCAATCCACCCTCCTTTATTTCGACTTCCTTAATTTGAGATATACATAGATATGCTAAAAAATGGTTTCTATTGATAATTCTGGATGATTCCAAATATATACATACGGAGGAGGTGCCTGCTTTTTTGTAACAAGAATGTTTGATGATGTTGGCCACAATACTCTAATTCCAAAATAAAGCTTTCTTCTGACGGTGAAAGTATTCTTTCTGGTGTAGAGCAGGCACCCTCTGATTTTGCAAATACGAAAAATTATTATGTAATTTGCATGTGAATAAGATTGGTCAAGAGTTCCTATTTGCAGGGTATAGTCACCCAATGAACAGTTCAAAATTACCAGAACTACGTTATTTTTCATCGATTCCTACACATAGTCGGACTGAAATGCAGTTTCAGTCCAGCAGTTTTTCCAGTTAATAAGCTGTATTTACGGTACCAAGGAAATGCCGTAAATTTTGCGCGTGAACAAGTAGCTGCGGCTGTAACGCCGGCCACTTGCGCGCGCAAAAATTATTAGCGTGGAGATCTGTTCACGCGCAAATTTTGCTGCATTTTCTCGGCACTGCGAGCACACTATAATAAGTGGAAAATGTAATTGACTGCACGTATTAGGTAGTGGCGGATGTAGGGGCAGGGTGTTTGAAAATCTTGTAAATGACTCATGGTAGCTTGTATTCGAGATGATTTTACAAAACATTTGAAATTGACATCCAAAGTGACTTTGTTAAAGACTTTTCTTTTTGGGCGTCACTTATGAGGTTTTTCGTAAGGTACGCATTTCGAAAAGCGTCCCAATGATCTGAGGCCGTGACATCGGCTATTGGAAAGGCTCCGTCTGGAAGTGATTTCTGGGGACCCCTCACCTTCTTCTCTTCTTAAATATTTTCTCCCTTTGATAACGGTACATTTGATGAAATTTCATTTTCGAGCCACAATATATCGCAATCCTTCTCCTTCCCAAGAGTTTTGTCTCAAAGGCAAGCCAAATCTGAGGTTGGTGAGTTTTTGAAAGTGATTGCCCAAGTCCCGCTGCAAAAGGGTATTGCAAAGCGCGACAATGGTCCTAGAAGATGGATGCTGACGGGTTCGCCACGTCTATCAAAGTAGTCTAAAAATATTTAGGCTGAAACTGGACTTAAAGGCAGCGTCAGGGCAGATTTGGATAATAGGATACTATCACAACCGAGTAGGGACCTCAATCTAGAACTATCGCACAAGTCCGACTTTTGTATACCTCTGCAAAAGGAGGAAATTGGCGCAGAAAATGCTGAGCTTTGGGGACCACGCCCATTCCCTCGCACGGCCCACCCCCTTGAACGAACTCTCCCCAGCCCTTTACGTGTTTTCACGTGGCAAATACAGTGGAACACGTAGTGTTTACCTGTCAATGCTTGCTTTCGACAAGGATAGCATTAGGAGCACTTGTCCACGGTTCTTACAGAATTGGGGCGTGGCGACCCCAGCGGCATTCAATTTCTGGAATGGTTTTCTCGTCTTGGCAACCAATTTTGCAGCGGGACTTGAGAAGTCATATAGCTGGGGCTGTCGCTATTGCACTACATCAAAATCTCGACAATCTCGGCTTCGGGTGGAAGGTGCCTTTAACTATAGAAGCGGTGCCTTAGTTTTCCGGAAAAGTCGATTCATGCGGTTCACTCATTGGCTACTGGTCACTTCCATGATTTGACCAATAGAATGAGGTGAACCAAACGAAGCGGTTGAATGACTAAAGTAGTCAACTAGAAATCTTCATAATAAAGACTTACTAGAGAGACAATTTTTTCTGAGTTTCTTTCTCCCTATGATCTACTTATTTTCACTAAATTACTGTTTGTCCTTTGCGTAATCTCTGAGGTTGTGGACGAGACGTGGGGGCGGTACCTTGAGAGTTAATAGAGTTTGGTCGAGTTCTCCTTGCCGAACCAATCCAAATAGTCCATTAACTGCATTTGATGTTGACGTCTCCGCTACTCTCGGATTGTTTCGCTCCATTGCGTTATCTAGCGTTGTCCTCAATGCTTACTTGGCTGGAAATTAAGAATCTCTGCTTTTTCTTCCGTGAACATTATGGTCAAGTGAAAGACACGGCAATAAAGAAAAGTCCATTTATCCACTTGATGGACTTTCTTCGCCCTTTTGTGCAAAAGATTTATACCCAGAGCAACAACTTTAGTCATTTCCTCAGAAAAGGACAAGCTCATTTCCGTCATTCCGTCCAAATGCCAGAACCGACTTGACATCAAGATAATTTTAGCTTGTCACTTGAAAACTCTATTTTTTACCCTGATACTGCTTCTCTACGTGGACATACCCTCCTATAATAGCAAATCTAAAATTAAAATTATTTTATTCTTCTTTTGCTCAGCTCACTCGTTTCTTTGCCTTTTGTCTTAGTAACTGACAGCTTTGATGTACATCCAAGTAGATCCACAAACATAATTAGAAGATTAGCCGAATCCACGGATGTAGCAGTTCCAACCAGGCTGAATTTGGGCAAATGGACTAGGATGCAGAGCTAAAAAGGCAATGTGGACACCAGAAAACTTGGGAAATCGAAAGTTGGTATATATAATATTTTGGAAAGTGCGAGAAAAAGTCTGGTTGTATACTTGTATCGAAATACAATGTCATTTATTCACTACATCGATTACAAGACGATTATATGTATTGGAGCCAATTCAGAATACCAATCATTTCCAAGGTAAAATATATTAACGAAATAGTGTATTTCAAATTGAACTAAAACAAGAGCGAATTTGATAGAAATGATGAATCCGTTTACGAGTTTATTGAGTTTGGGTTTTAGCTTAACCCGTGCAATTTATTAAGAAATAAATTTTTATGCACCGCCGTTTGATTCAACTGGCTTGGCGGCTGGAAGGCGGGGCTTCGTGACTTAATCAAGGCTAATGATCAGAGGGTACCCGCGCGAGAGAGACGCAGCCTTTATTGGGTCACAAAGTCCCGTATTCCAGACGTCAAGCCAGTTGAATCAAAGATTAGAATAAAGCCGTCTTTCACGAAATATGATGAAGATACCTACAATGTCTCTCCCTTTCCCATTCCTGTTTCTAATACACATCCTTCTTTCCGTGACGCTGTGACTTCCTATGAAGAAAGCTCTATTCTGCGATGCAGTCAATTTAGATGACATCAATCGATTTAGTGGCGACTTTAATAAATGATGCTATGGTACAAAAATCCATCTAGGCTTTATCTGAAATGCAAATTCTATAAAGGACAAAAGCAATATTTATTTTTCCATCATTTTCGCTCCAAAGCAGACCGGATCATGATGTGTAGGTGGCGTATGCGATCAGATCTACATATGTAGCAATGTATGAATCTGTGCCAATTGGCAAAAAAATTTAAGTTCAGAGAGGTGTTATTTTGAGAGTCCTCACAAAGTCTCTGTGTTTCATTTGACTGGATGCTCTGTGCGAGAATTTCTTAGTACAATTCAACAATAACAATCTCTCAGAAGATAGTACCACTACAATGCCCAGGTTTTACGAACAGAGAACGTATGAAACAATCTCTCAATCAGATTCTTTTTTCACAGATCTGCCTTCATTCATCAACTCTGAAAAAATTGGAGAGGTTTGGAAAAGTTAGAGTTTCATTCCTACTCGCGTCCATAGCAACATAGGCCATTTGAATCTAAATACCTCTTTCTTTATTGAATTACAGCCTCTAAATGTTAATTGAATTTCCCCTTTGCTTGATGCTCTGCTTTACCTTCAACGTTCAGTAACAAGAAATTCATCTCAAATGAGAAAATCTTATTTTTCTTCATTAATCTTTGAACCTACTAACAAACGTGATTGTACGTTGAGGTCATGCTACAGTGCTCACAGTTGTCGTCCTTGAGTCTTGAGGACCTGAGAACGACAGTGTTTGCTTAAGTGATGTATTCAAAAATGGCCTTGATCACCTTGTTTACGATGATCGTGCTAGATCCGTCCAGAATACAGTATTTGTCTGCTCTCAGTCTGGCTGCAGTCTACATTTGGCCTACGTTTTCCTGGTATTTCACAATTTTTACAAGGAAGCGAATGCTCACAAAATCCGTATGACTCCTGATATTATTATCTGGATCTCTATGACCTCATATTTTTGATTCCAGTAACTGCCCCTATTAGATAAGAGTAACTGAAGATTCGCAGAAATTTTCTTTGTCAGAGAGTAGAGTAGGCGCAAATTTGGTTTTGTCAAGGAGCATGGCGTTGACCACAGTCTATAACTTTTAGCCAAGCTTCTCAGCTTCTGCCTGCAAAAAGTTCACTTTGAAAATTTCACGCGAAATCATTTGGAAAATCAAACAATTTTTAAGTTAGTGCATGGCGTTGACTTATAAATTTTCAAAAATCCCGTCTGTTTTATTGACTCATGCAAAGCTCAAGCAAAGATTTCTTGCTTGAGCATACTAAAAGTGTATTATTGGCAAGTTCAATTTCTTATTTATACCTTGAAGTTTGAGTTATTTCCGGCTGACATGCATAGACTTCCACCTGAATGAAGTACTGTTTCTTTCCAGTTTGCTTCTGCGGTCCTTGCTAAACTGTAAAAAAAACAAGGAAATCGCCTTGCTTTTGACTTGTATATCAAAGCGTATTCATGTCGAAATAATAAAGGTTGTAGGGGTTTCTATGCTCTATTTCGAATGGGTAATAGAGAAAATTAAAGTGGTTTTAGTCGGACTTGACCGATAAGGATTAACAACAGATTTACGTGTAGCAGTCCTGGTTTCTCAAAAGGGTCCCAGAAAGTAGATCCGAATTTCTTTTAATAATCTGATTTGATTAATTAATTTAATTGATAAATTAATCAATATTAATTTGATTGATACATTAACCAATAATAAAGTAAATCCGAATTTTGAAGTACATGTCTTCTACTTCACTATTTGAGATTTTTTTCCTTTTCTACTTCCAGTGTGCCTGTGAGATAATGAATCAAATAATCAAATAAATAATTGAATCGGTGTATAGGTATGCTTCAAATTGTTTCTAAGGAGATAGATAAAAACTGCGATTGAGGATTTTGAGCCAGATTTTTGCTGACAACGTAGTACTTCTTGTAATTGCTTTCCATCAATTTTATCTTTCTTATTATATTTACTTCCGATGTACACCCTTTAAAAACGGATTTCCACTGGCTTCTGGTGTTTTTTTCGAAAGCATTGATTTGTTAGTATGGTATATTTCTAAAGACTAGTTAGGTTTTAAACCTAATCAATTCTTGTGGGAAAAGTAGGCATGTTACATTTGCTTGTATCATATTGACTGTGCAAATGATTTACTTCAAAAGGAAGGTATCAGGCATTCAAATCACAGAGCACTCATTATTTTCGCATAAACTCAATACAGAGAAAAACAATTATATATTTGTTTATCTCCGTTTCGTCCCTTTCCTTAGACGGAGTTTTGAGGTTTAGACCCTCTGCGAGACTTACGGGACAAATCACCTGCTTTATATGTTACGATATATCCTGAATCACTCAGTTTTCTGTCGAATTGAGGAAAAATTCAGAATTACTCCAATAAAAAACCATCCGTTGTGAAATTCACTTCAGCAAGCGCAATGCAGTTGACCATGAATAATTGACGCTTGGAAAATGACGCAGGTGTGTTCCGGCCTATGCGCTTTTCAAGCGCATGTTTTCGCTCTTATACTTTTGCCAAGAACGCTGCTTTACCTCACAAGGCTAGCTATACTTGTTCAAGACTATATCATACATCCATTATGTTCGTTTTAGGACCACTGGTCATTCTGCGCAATGCAGGAGCACTGCATATAATTAATCCGAGCGAGTCTAATCGAGTAAGCAGGTGAAACGAAGCGAAAAGGTAGAGCTGCTAGTCGATGCTGACTAGAGCTGAGTATTGTTTGTTGCTATGCTTGTAAATATAATCACTCGCTTCGTTTCTTCCTTCTTCTTTTTTATCCTACGACAATACTCTTTACGCATCTCCCACTCACTCAAACTCTGCGGCGAATACTATGAGAGCGCTATATTTCTCGCTCAAGTGTCGCCGGGTAATTAGATTTCCGTGGATATCATCGCTTCTGGCTCGCGGAAGCGATACCTCAGGGTCTGAGGACTTTCTGATTGACTTTTTGTGTGCACATTGGACTAATCAAGGAAGCAATTCTGGGCACTTGTTGTAATTGCGGTCATTTGGTGCAATTGCACTAAATTTTGCAATTTTACACACATTTATAAAGTTATGCTCAAAGTCCAAAACTTCTGCTAAACCCAAACTTCAAATTTACTTTGAATTTTTGGTTGGTGAAATCCGATTTTGTTCCTAGAAAAGACCCATTTTTGAAAAACTACTGTTCTACTTGAATGCTCGTGATAAAATTTGTTACCAGAATTCGACACACTGGTGCAATCACACTAATTACAAAAGTACATATTAAAATTCATTATAGTCAAACTTTCCCAACTGTTCGGTTTCCTTGGCATTGTGCTGTGATATGCATTCATGCCCTTGCGGCACCAACAACATTTGCGGAAAGACGGTCTTTTCGCACGGGCGGTCTCCAACGTTTCCCTGAGTTTGACTTCTCAGACAATTATTGCGAGCATCCGCGGCCCCTACCGTCGTTTTTTGGCGGTGCGCGGGCGCTAAATTCTTGGACTGACCAGCCGCGGCCCCAGATTCATTTGTTTGGCAAGCCGCGGCTCAATGCTATCGCGGGGGAAAGACCGCGGGCCATAACTGTTTTATCGGAACACCCGCGGCACAAGACAAGACACTCGGGCGAGCCCCGGGCCTTACAGGACGCCCTGCATATTTGGTTATTGGGCAAGCCGCGGCCCTTTAGGCCACGGCCCGGCAGAACCATTTTGACGAGCCCCGGGCCTTTCTAGACGCCACAATTCTTACACGCTGGAAGCAAAAACGTAACCGCGTGAGATACGCCGCGGTAGTTGAAGTACCCTAAACGCTTTGGTCTTTGGCTATAAGTTTAGCTTATAACTA